AAGTGAATTTGCATGCGGCCTGAGTAGTCAGGTGCTGGTCTGATTGGCATGTGCAAATAGTTCCCAAGCTCACATGTATTTAATTTAAGGACTACAGCTTTCCTTGAAGGTGCTCTGACTCTGGATTAGCTGTAAACCGGTCAGGTAGCATGAGCACTGGAGGTGTGGCCTCTATCTTTTGCCAGGCATTTTAAGTACACCGTCAGCACTGATTCCATTCTGTGTCCAAAGCTGAAGCCCAGTTGTGAAGCATCCAGATTATTGACAGATGTCACAGATAGAGCTGTGTATAACTGATTTTTCAGGTCAGTGGCCAAACAAACAAACAAAATAATTTCAGGTTTACCCAAAACTATTTTTTTTTTTTTACTTTTTTCGGCAAACCAAACATATTGAAGAAAATACATTCAGGTACCATGAGGTGTTTTTTTTTTTTTTTAAACTTTCAATTTTAAAAATAAAACAGAAGTAAAAGTCAAAATGAAAAGCTGTTTTGAATCAAAAAGGCAAAATGTTTCATTTCAAAATGTCAAAATGAAATATTTTGACTTTTTCAGAATTTTTGTTTGTTATTTTCTACTGAAACAATTAAGTGAATCCAACACACATTCATGAAAAAGAATCAGCCAAAAAGTTTTACCCAGCTCTAGTCACAGATGATCTAAGAATTTATAAAAGTTAGGACAAGAAAACCTGTCTGCAAAAACGTAGACAGAAATCTGTACCTAACATTTGTGAGACTGCTTTTGAAACTTTGTTCCTTGGGATGCATTTTATAGATATAGGGGCCTGTTTTCTTGACGCAGGAAACCAACTATGAGGAAAACAGTCCTGCTAGGGGGAGAACTGAATCCACTTTCCTTTACCATTATTTGAGCTTCAGATCTTAATAGCAGTTACCCTCCCAAAAATCAGGCAAAATCTTCTGAATTAAATTAAGAAATGAGGAAAGGTTGGGTTTTTCTCTCTTTGACCTCCCCTACCCCCAACCGACACCCACACCACAAAGGACCTGATTTACATTTTTCTTACACCAATGTAAACTGGGAATAACTCCACTGAGAACAATGAAGTTACACCAGCATAAAACTGGTGTAAGAGAGAAATCTGAGCCTAATGCTTGAGCCAATTTCCATTAAAAACAGAGAAAGATTCACCTCTGCTATGTGATATTTGTATTGCTTAGTTTGTTTACAGAAAAACTCCAAGATTTACAGCAGAGATGTTAAAGAATAAATTCAATGCAAAACCCCAGCGGCAAAAAGGTGGTTCTAATTTAGATTTTTTTTTAAACCTGCCCCAACATTGAAACTTTAAGGTGACATGGAAGTTATTTTCATAAGACCCTCTGCATGGAAATAATTTCTTTAATGTCCCCTACATTTGTATTGCCAACTCTTGTAAAATCCACTGCTGAACTCAAAAACAATCCAGACAAGAAAGGCCAGTGCCCAGAAACTCTTGGGAGATTCTGTAATTTTCATGCAAAAAATCTGACCATTTCCTCCTTGATCTTCACCTTAACTAACTTTTCCCACTTGTTATAGTTCTTTTTCTCTCCTGCCTTTCATCCTGTTTTATTTCATTTCCTGACCACAACACCTCTCAACGAAGCAGAATGTGGCTATGCTACAAACACTGCTACATCTCTATCCTGCCCCATCCCCCTTCTGGTTCTTTGTACACATTGAAACGGTTTGAAATGGAGGTGGGAGAAGCACATGGTTCAGAGCTTAGATGATTAAATTCTTGCTGCACAGAGTAGAATTTGCATGGCTCTTGAACCAGCTAACTGGGGGAGAGGAGGATGTCTCTCTCTTCTCTGCTGGAAATAACAGTTGCAAAGAAGGAATTCATTTGCTGCATCACTTGTGAATTATAGTCCCTTTCCATCTGTCTCCTTTGCAAAGGAGGACACAGCTTGATGCCTTCCTTTCCTTCCTGTTTATATTTAAACCCCTTATTTGTCTTTCACAATTTCTTCTTCTTGTCACCTTTCTGCTTTAAGTCACCGGTCTCCTCTCTCTTCTCCTAGCTCTTAACTGCCAGTTTTTAATCAACATCGCTTCAGATCCTCCTCTGCTCTTCCTTCTGCTGCATTTCTCCCCTCTGGCTCTGCCTACTCTTGTGTTTTTCCTTCTAATTTCCTAGTTGACTGAAAAATGTACAAAAATAACTGTTTCCTTTTTTTTTGGAGCTGGATTTCAAAATTTCAATGACATTTTTCATCAGAATTCCTAAATTTGAAACATTTTGACCAGCTCTAGCAATGATCTAGCTCCAGTGTAGGTGGGCCATGAGCAGCAGATAGCAATTTGACCACCTTGTCCACTCCACCTGCTCTGAGTGGGGTTAGACAACATGTTTGTTAGAACACCAGTATTCTCGCTGTATTAGAACTCCCACCCTTGCTGACCCTGGTGTCACTGCAATTGCAGGAAGCATGAAGAAAAATGTTTGTGTAGACAAGACCTCCCTGACAGTGAGAACTCTCTGCAGGGGAATAGTCTCCTTAGAGAAATAGTAAAGGCCCCACCACTTGGACATTTGAAATTAGACTGGACAATGTACAATGGGAAATAATCCTGCATAAGCATAGAGATGGACTAGATCAGTGATTTTCAACATGTGGTCCGTGGACCGCTGGGGATCCGCAGACTAGGTCTAAGATTTCCAAATGGGTCTGCACCTCCATTCAAATTTTTTCAGGGGTCCGCAAATGAAAAAAGGTTGAAAACCACTGGACTAGAGGGACCCTAACAGAGATTGTTCTTGCATTCTATATTCTTACCGTTCATGCCTTCCTTTTTCAGATCCTATTCTTTTTTCTCCCACCTTCTCTATCTGCACCCACCTTCTTACCTCTCTACCCCCACTGCTGCCTATTCCCTTCTATTCAGAACTCCTCAATATCTCCTCCCTCCTATGCTACCTTGTCCTCTCTTCCCTCATTTCCTCTCTTTATAAAAAAAAAATTTTTTTAAAGCTTTGGGGGAACCTCAGATCTGAACTTTGTTGTTTCAACTCTTCATAATTATTGACATAGTAGGCAGGGGTAACATACAACACACAGTCAACCTGTGGGACTCTTTGCCAGAGGATGTTGTGAAGGCCAAGACTATAACAGGGTTCAAAAAGAACTATAAATTCATGGAGGATAGGTCCATTAATAGCTATTAGCCAGGAAGGGCAGATGGTGTCCCTAGCCTGTGTTTGCCAGAAGCTGGGAATGGGCGACAGGGGATGAATCACTTGATGATTACCTGTTCTGTTAATTCCCTCTGAAGCACCTGGCATTGGCCACGGTCGGAAGACAGGATTCTAGGCTAGATGGACCTTTGGCTGTTCTTGTAATCACCATTATACTTAGTGGAATTGGGTCTGTAGTTAGTCCATAATTTACATCAAATAATATAACACATGTAACTATGGGCCATATTCTACCTTTTATTTTAGGGAATTGGAGTTTTGTATGCAGAGTAGAATATGGCAGGATGTAATTAACCTCCTGTATGTTTTATGGTACAAAAAAATGTGAGTCCCACCTACAGGTATACAATAATGCGTATCCAGTATAAAATTGATACTATTTTGGGACTTGTTTGGCGAGAGACAAAAAAGTCAGTTGCTGCCACCTAGAATTCAAGTTTCATCCAAAGAAATAGCCAGGGTAGGGGAAACGAACTAAGATTTTTCGACTGACAGTATGACGAGTAGGACTCTGAGGATAAAAATGAACAGAAAAAAAGGGGGGTGAACCAAAGAAGTGCCACAAAGTATTTGAAACAATTCCCTTTCCTACCTTTGGACAAGATGCAGGCTCCAATTAGGTAAAACACCACCAGGAAATGGTTGTTTCATCATAATAATGCTGTGAACCGCATTTACATTAAAAAGCACACTGAATGCATACATTTCTGTTAAAAAAGAAGAGCTGATGAAAACAAGCACAAGACCAGGTAAAAGGATGACAATTCTCAGTGTCTCGGACCTCAGACTTTTTAAAAACTTGTAGTATAATTGTGCTGGATGCAGTTACACTATGTCAGGTTTTGTTAGCAAACCACTGCCATAACGCCTGCTAAGAAGGAATCATGTTTATTGACTGCATTTGTTAATATATTTCTGTGCTGAGACCATTTTGTATGCTGAGGCCGAGACAAGCTACATCCCACTGTCCAAATCATGGGGTCCATCCCAGAGCAATTTCTGTGCAAAAACCATTCGTGTGGATGATCTTTATAGTTTAAAAAGGGGGGACAAGATCATATTTTTCTCTCTTGCACAGTTCACTGCTACACAGAGCTTTGTACACTGTAGCTGCACAAAATAAAATAAAAATTACAATTTGGTTCCAAAATCATTTCACTAGAGTGAGGTTTAGAAAAATGCCCCATTATTTTCAGCTTTCCTTGTCCGAGTTAATCTCTCATACTTCAGGAGTGACAGAGGACAAAGCATTAAAAAAAAAGTTGGTAGACTGTCACAGAGAGCATTTGAATATACTGTGGGCCTGGTCTCACACCCACTGACGTCAATAGCAGTTTTTGCATCGGCATCAGTGGTGACTGAATCAAGCAATAGAAAAACTAGCTACTGATCCCAAATAGAAACTTCCCCTTTTGGTAAGGCTAAATGTTAAACAGCGTATTTAAACATGATTCCATTGCATCTCACTCTCAGAGACAATTTTTCCTAGCACATGATTCCACAGAACATCCCTTATTTTCTCACACTCACTTTGATTTCAGTTGTAAACAACAAGAACTCAGTTTTTTTAAATATCTGCTATTTGTAGCTGAATAAAGGCAGAAGCAAAAACATTGCAGGATTAGACCAAAACAGTGGAGTTTAGATTTTTTTCATTATAGTTATATACACACACACACACACAAAATATATATATATATATATACACTCATAGTATAAATATATTCATATAATATTGTAAAAATATTAATTTAGCTCTAACTGTTAATACCTGATTTATATGGACTAACCTTATGCTGCGTTTATTTGATGATGTTTCCAGTTAATCTAGTGGCCATGTTAGAAGCCCTAGATTTAAAGGACTAGCAATAGTCAAGACACCCAGGAAAAAGCAGCCTGGATGTCTAAACCAGTCACTTCTTGCCACGTGCCTGTAGAGGAGTTAAGTTGGAGGAGGGCCTTCGTATCTCAGCATCAAGTTGAAGGAGCGGGCAAAGTTGTTGGCAAACTTGCAGCTGTGGGTCTCCTCCACCAAGGGGAGCAGAAACGCCAGGAGCAGCAAGAACAGCAGGAGTATCTGCAGTGGCAGTGCTGCCCAGCACACGCGGTGCAGGAAAGGACACATCCTCCCTGGACGTCTCTAAAAGACACAAACCGAACGGGGATGACGGATTTATTGAGCATATTAACAAGAAAAATAATTACAATAATTGGGGGAGGTGCGATGGGCAGGGAGTAAAGACACCTCAAATATTTCCTAGAATCAGTGATAATGGAGGTGAAAAAGACCTTTTAGCCCATCTTATCCAGTGCAGAACTGGTCCCCGTGATATATTCCTGCATGTTCTGTGCAGTTTGACTGATTAAAGTAATGGTGCTTGAACCACCTCTCTTAGGTTATTCCATGGGCTAATAGACCTCAGTGCTAGGAATTATTTTCTTGAGAATTATTGCTTGGCTTCACTGGAGGAAGAAAACAATGATCCTCAGGGTCAGGTTTCTGATTACTAAGCAATTATAACTCCACATATGCACCCCCCCCCAGACTGCTAATTGGTCTTCTCCCGGGGAATGTTGAAGAGAAAAAGTCTATTTTAGCAGCTAATATGTCACAGCAAAATGAAAGCTTTGCTTCCTGGGAGAAGCCAAACAGCCTTAGGCTTTGTCTCGGAAGAGGAGCTTCATATGCTGTTTGTATTCATTATGGTCAGATCACTCAGAGATATGATTTGGTTTGGTCTCCCAGTGCAGTCTGATCCTTGGGCCCTCTCTGTTTATTGCTGACCTTCCCCATGGGTAGGGAAAGCAGGAAAAGGCTCCCGCATTATTACAGCCAATCCACTGTTTCTCATGCTTTGCCAGACAAATTTTATACTTCACAAGATGCAACAGAATGACAAAGAAAAGGCAGCAGCACAACAGATGGTGAAAGCTGGCTTTAACATGAAGTACCCCACGAAAGGAAGAGAAGAGCCAAATTCTGCTCAGTTACACTGGTGTAAATCGAGAATAATTCTATTGACCGCAAGGAGTTGCTTTGGATATACACCAATGTTACAAACCAGAATTTGGGCCTGGGACTTCAGGAAATACTCATTAAAGTGGAGGGTTCCCAGTGGCAGGATTCCTGGTGATTATTAAAGATCTCTCTCAGGAAAAAAAAAGGTTAAAAAGTAACCAAATACTTGGGTGAGGCAGTTTTTTCAGCAGGCCTGGATTTACATTGGCAGCATAGTAATGATATTTAGCACCTACCCAATACCAGTCATTTACATGCTTTACAAATCTTAATTAATTAATTCTCATAACACACCTGTGAAGGGTAGTATCCTCATTTCACAAATGAGGAAACAGATAAGTTAAGTGACTTGCTCAAAGCCACAAAGGAAATCAGTGTCAGAGCTGGGATTAGAAATTCGAACTCCAGCTCTCATTTATACCTTCCTCCCACTGCATTACCAACAGACCCTGCCCTTTGAAAACACCAGCAGAGAAGATAATGTCAATAGACTAGAACATTGTCACAGACGAATGGTCTGTATTAGAAATTGTGGAGATGTTTCTCCCCCTTGTAACTAAGCTCCTCAACCTCCTGCTGCTATATATAAATGCTGGGGCATTTATAGAAATTGCCAAGGCACACAACCCAGACACAGTTTCAGAGCATGAGATAATGATTCTGTAAAAATATTCTTCTGTTACAGCTGATTTATTTCTGCTGCATCAAACGACTGATGGAGATCTAGTTATTGGATCTGGCGGATGTTGAGGCAATAGAGTGACAGGTGTTTGTTCTACCCTTTCTGACTTGCTGCATTGTGACTGGGTTAAGGCCTGATCCAAATTCCATTGAAGTCAGTGAAAACTCCCAGCCCTTTGAGAATATGTTGGGTGCTTCAGCTGCTTGTGTTCATCTTTCGCTTTCAATGAAGTACTAGAGAAAATTGGGAGTCTAAATTAAGGTGTTCCCTGAGGGAACTTCACCGTGCACAGCTGGCCTTTACACAGCAAATCAAAACGTAGTGACCCTGGTAGCATTGCAGGAGCCATTTCTACATACGGATCTACGGTTCTTGATTATTGTGTCCAATGCACTAGACACAACTGGGTGTCCTTATAGGTTTTTCCCTTCTATTAGTCCTACAGGCCAAACCCTAACGTCCTTAGTACACTCTTAAATAGAAGTTTTGCCCAAGGACTGAATAAAATCTGAGCTGGGAGAGGGAATTCACACCCTTACTTTGAATAGTCCCACTGATTACAAAGGGGTTAGTCACAGAGTAAGGTACTAATAACCATGAGTACAGGTGGCAGCATCAAGTCCTGAGTGAAGTATTCAGGGTTCGGCTCTAGATTCTACAAAACAGGCTCTTCTTCAACATCACCACACTCTCCTTGGAGCCATGTAAATCAATGGCATTTCACTAGGGATTTCTATTTTCACTAGTTCTTCTCTATTCCTGTTTAATTCTCCATTGCCACCATAATAGCCTAGTGCAGCAATGTGGTAGAGATACTTATTCTAAATTCCTGTCTTTCAGACTCCAGAGCCATGCAAAACCAGACCATGTTTACTGCTATTTGCCAACAGAGTTAGTTTTGTTTGATGGAAGATCTGAGGCAGAATTATCCTTGCCTTGTGAAGATGAAGAGTAACTCTTTCTCCCACTGTCAGAAAATGAGCACTTCTACCAGGAACAGGACGTGGAAGTACTATTCTCTCTGGCACAAGGTTTAATATCAGCATTATTAAAGGAGAGTTCCCTATAATAGTGTACAGCTCAGTGAGGGATGGACATAACAGATGAGATTTTCAAAAGCACCTGAGGGAGTTAATTGACTTGTGCTCCTAACTCCCTTTGGCGCTCTTGTAAATCCCATCAGATAACTCTCCAGAATTCAATATTGCCTTATGTTTGGAGCTAATTGCCAAGCCAGCTGCTCTGCATTTGCCCTCCTAGTTATTTATTCCTGCCGGAGAGGGGGTACAGAGGCACTAGGCTTTTCCATTTGTGGCTCATCTCCACTTCTGTTGTCATCCAGCAGGTGCCTTAACAGTATCCAGGACTTCCTAGGGCATCCATGTTGCCAGTAAGTGTAGTCTCTCTCTCACTCTCTCTTGCCTGTGCCAGCTCTCCTAAGGAGGTGTAGAGGGGAGGAGGTTGCTCACTGAGGGCCAAACTCTGCTTGGTCTTCAGCAGGTGCTCAATGGTGGTGAGAAGGGTGCATGGAGCCTTCCCCTCAACTTCCATGGACTGCCTGAATAATCCTAAAGGTGCACAAAGGGGGCTAGGAGGGGGAAGAGTCAGGTCCCTACCCCTCCACGCCAGCCTCAGGGATGGAGAGAGGCGCACCCCATAAAGGGGTGTAGTAGTGGATGCACTCTCCCAGCGCATCCACAAACTCCAGCAAAAATGGCCTCTGAGGCCGGCTCCTCCATGCCCCTCTGGCGTGGTGTGGCTCCATGCTCTGCTCAAGACAGAGCTATGGCTAATAGGCATCTCTAGCCCTGACTGTCTGGAAGCCCAGCTGACAGAGCTCCGTACAATGCTTGCCAGCAGGAGTTGTGCCTTAGGGATACAAGGAACACATGAATTCTACTCCCAAGCCTGATCATTAATTCAATGCAAGGATAAGAAACCATGGCTCAGTTTCCCCCTCTGTAAAATAGGCAATGGCCTTACCCATAGATGTGTTACAAGGCTTAAATACTGCTTGTCAAGTGCTTCAAGATCCACCACTAAACGCTGCAAAACAATACTGCCTTTCATGGCTCTGTGTATCTTACATATACTATTTTTCTGAGGCTGCCTTATTTATAAGCTAAGACTTTATTTCACTGGGGCTTTTAGTAGAGTAAGATACCACTCAATGAGACTAACAGTAGCCAAATCTGGCATTACATCTACTGTGCAAAGAGGGACTTTCACACTGGGGAAAAACTTGAGGCAAGGAAAATGAATTTACTTGGCCTGCAGTTTCTAACCTATTTCCTTGCTGGGGTTGAAGAATAATTTTTTCCTACACAGCCCAGCTTCTCCATTTTGCCTGATTATATAGCAAGGTCATAATCTTGTATTTCACACACCAGTTTGTTCTTGCTCTTGTAGCTTGAAAGCTTGGTCTCTGTCTCTTTCACCATCAGAGTGACAGCTCTGGACCAATAAAAGATATTACCTCACCCACCTTGTCTCTCTCATATCCTGGGACCAACATGGCTACAACAACACTGCAAAGAATATTTTCCTACTACTCTCCCTCTGACTTGGTTTTGATCATAATCCAGAATACAGGAGAATGTTGTGTTAATTTGTCCTAGGGACCTAAGAGATAGTAGCATCATAAACCACAGCCTGTCCAGCTACTGGTACACTACTTATCTGTGAGTTTAATGACTTTGCTGCTACCTATATGTGCCAGGCATATCAGACCAAAAAAAAAAAAAGACGCATCTCCAGAGCTCCTGTACATATTAGGGGTCCCATGGAAATAAAAAGTGATCACATAATTAAAGACTGTATCATAATGCACAGGGGGCTGAACTAAGATTACACAAACAATATTAATTCTGGCACTTCTTACCTATGGAATGCTTGCGTTTGTAACCTTAACGTTTTTAAAATAGGTGGGTGGGGATGTGCGTGCCCATGCAACATCTGTGGGGAATTTTGAAAGCTACCCAGTTCATAAGCAGACAGGCAAATCCCAGGGTTTTTAATTCCTCCGGTGCACTCAGAAGAACACAGAGTTGACTAGCCTAACAGCCACAGTCTTTGTACAAGGGTCAATTTAAAATCACAGCAAGAAACAAACCAGCAGTTTATACTCTGAGTCTCAGAAGACATATGGACGACATTTCAAAGTTTCTGCTGCAAAGTCGCTTAAAACTAAGTATGCTGCCATATGTTTCTGTGACACGGATGGATTTACGACAGCTAGTCCTACAGATAGATATGGCACAACATGCACTTAGGATAATAATGCCACAGGCAAAGTGGTGGCACTGGATCTGATAGAGCAGCATTGCAGAGAAGAAAACATTGATTTCGACAATTCTTTATACATAAGGACACACAAGTTTCTGGTTTTGAACTCACCAAGCTCATGACATGATCAATGGAAGCTGCTTTCTTTCTCTAT